TTACTTCAAGATAGACTAATTCAAGGATTCATTTAAACCAACTTTTACTCCGAAATAATAAGCAATATCACGAAAACTCATCAAGACAATCCTCGAAACTTCATACAGAAAAAGTTTTATTTTGATTCTTTTAGATTCCCGTTTTATTAGATTAACGGCGACCCTGTCCATGGTGAAGTCTAGAGATGGTTTAGTCCGTGCCTTGAAGTTCTCTTTTTCATTCGTTAATTTTCATCCGGGCTGGATCACAGCCTTGCATCAACTTTCTCGTGCGACTAGAACCATAGAATTTCGAATCAGGATAACAAGCCTCAAGTCTGCTTCCAAAAGGTCTAGACTCTAAAAATGTTTCGTAATTTTTCCGTTCCCTGCATGAACTTAACCCCCTTATTAGCAATTCTTGAATAAGATTAAAGTCAAAACTACAGTCCACTTAAGAAGAGATGATTTTGGTATAAGTTAAATATTAGTCCATAGCTCATCCTATGTGACCTAGGTTGAGTTAACTTTTATTCAAGAAGTACTGATAGTCTCGAGAACTACTTATATCGAAAATAAATAGTTGTTAGTCACCAAGCCTTATAATGATCGATTTTTAGAACGTCTATATCGTTACAGACTTGGTCTTGAACTGCTAGAAATTTCGTCTTTATTTGACGAATACTCATTTACTATAGTCCCTCTTTATTCAGGAGGGGAAATGATTGTAATACGGGTAAGAAACTAGTCATGCCGTATTTATTTTGCTTTAAAAATATGTTGTGAATAACAACCCTAGGACAAGAGATTCTTCGTTGTATATAAAACGTATTTATTTTATAAAGACTTACTCTAGCTGCTGCGTCGACTAGCGCGCCGTGTTTGATTAACACCTTGGCTGTTTCTAGTTGGCGATTGCGAATTGCCAGGTGTAATGAGGACTCACTGCGCACCGTCAGACCATTTACATTAGCGCCACGCTGCAAAAGCAGAACAACTGCCTCAGGACAGCCTACGAAGGAGGCCACATGTAAGGGTGTTAGGCCAGTCTGAAGTAGGAAGAATCGAATTTAGATGACAGACACACAAGTCGATACATCGAATATACTAAAGTTAATAAGTAATTAAAAGCTGGTGGGTAGCCACCAAGATGCAAGCGTCGTAATTGTTTGCCAGGTAATAAGTTAGAATAGCTAATCTATGGAATGGAATAATTATTCATTCATTTAGTTGAATGGCTAATTAAATTTTTTATTCCTACGATTATGCAAGTTATTGACTAATGAAAAACATGGATACATAATTAAATGGAACATGAACAGTCGTCCTAAAGTTGAAATAGGAGCACTTTTATTTGCACATGTTAGGCTGAATTTTAATAACAATGAATTAAGGTATAGACAAGCTTACAATACTGATCAAAGTTAAGGATGAGAGATTGTATGTTTTAGCTGGGCGCTAAGTTTCTCTTGGTGAGCTCCTTTCAAATAACCGAAAAGTTAAGAAACAATTTAATTTCCAACGAAAGCCAATTTACCTCTGTAGCCGCTTCCAAAGTGGCTCCATTCTTGAGTAATATCTCCACCATCTTCACTTTCTTTTTCTTGCAAACAATATGCAGTGGTGAAAATCCGTTCTAAATTAGGACAAAAGGAGAAGAATAAATTTTGCGTAAGATATAATACATTACATGCCTAAGTTCAATATACAAGTTCCAACTTATAAAGCCAATTATGTGAGCACTGCAAAGCGACGATACACTGGGGAATTCATTGGGGGTATTTTGTTGCCTGACATTACTAGGATTACCCTTATTGTTCCTTAAATGTGTAAATCTAGTCTATAATTATTGAGCTCCCTTCAACTTAGAGAGAAAGTAGGTGATGAAAAGATTCAAAGGCCGATTCCACCAGAGGGCGACGGGGGATCCCTCTTGGCCAGCTGGAACATTCGTGTTCACTCCGTCCCCAGTGAGCACGTGCTATGAAGTCATTCTTCCTTTATAGGAATCATCAGAACAAGCTAACATTCTCACTAAACTATTCAGACGAACTAGTCAGATAGACTTATCAGCCTACCGCTAAATGCTGTATATATCCCCAATATCTATATGTGGAATCAAAGAAGATTGTTTTTAGGATAGCGTCAAGCAGGATGTTTCAGTCAGACCAACTAGCAGCTAATCAAGAGGAATCCGCCATCTTCCCCAGGCGGGATCGGTCCCTTCAATCTCTTCATCACATACTTTCACTCGG